GAAGCTGAGATTCCAGATGTGCTCTTGCTTTGGGATAATGAGCCTGTTCACACTATTCAGGTTGCAGTAGCTGAAGTAACCAAATGTGGCTTTGAATTGCTACCCACTCCCCACTTCTTTATTCACCAGACTTAGGTCCATCTGACTTGTTCTGTTTTCTAAACTCAAATTTCCACATGTGTGGTTACCATTTTGGAAACAATGATGAGATGATACATGCTGCAGAGAAGTTTTTGGAGGAGGACCAGGACTCCACCTTCTTCCATGATGGAATTGCAATGCATCATTAAATCAAGTGCATTGATGGCAAGAGGGAGTATATTGAAAAATAGTGAAAAACTTGTTTCTTCAACTCCTTCTGGGTGAGACTTAGAACATTTTGGAGATAAGATAAAACTTTTATTCAATTGAATGATTACATATTCAGCAAATTCTGGTGATAGGAGACAAAATGAAATAATCATCATGGCAGTATTTGAATTGGGAAGAGTTCTAACAGAGGACAGTAAGTGCAACACTGAGATCCGAAGTTATATTAGGATGACCAAAGATGCATTATGAAAGCTAAGCAGAGTATTATGAGACCGGAGGATTTCGTTGGTAACAAAGAAAAGAGTATTGAACTGCTACGTGAAATCTGTCCTCCTTTATCACAGCGAATGTCAGATGAAGAAGAGACTTGAGGCAACAGAAGTATGGTTCTACAGAAGGATGCTAAGGATATCATAGACCAAACATGTGAGCAACGATGAGGTTTGGAGAGTATGCAAACAAAGAGGCAACTTATACATAACATCAGGAAGAGGCAGCTGAAATTTCTGGGACACATAATGAGAAAGGAAGGCTTGGAAAATCTGATACTCACAGGGAGAATAGAGAGAAAGACAGACAAGGGAAAGCAACATGTGGCATACTAGTGGGCTTAGGCAAGTGGATGAGAGAACAGGGTCTGGGAGAAGTAGCAAAAGGACAAAACTTATTGAGAACTACAAGGGATATGAGGAAGTGGAGAGCCATGATCGCCTACAATCTGAAGGGAAACAGCACATAAAAGAAGAAGAATTTGAAGACAACATTTCAGTGCTTTTTTCTTTTTTTTTATCACTGCATAGCAACCCCCTACAATCTGAAATATGTCTTGGTTTTAACCCTTTAGCATTCAACACACTCATACCCACCCTGTAAATTTCGGCTCTCAAAGTCACACTGACTGCGTGTCTTCCTGTGTTATTTGCATCATATACTATGGAAGAGGTTACATGGAGTGGGATACAGTGGAATGAACATTGTGAGCTGATATTTATGAAGTAGGTTTGGGCAGCTTGAATGCTAATGGATTAAATAACCTACAAAGGGTTGATAAACCATAAATAACAAATCAATCAATTAATCAATTGACCCACTGACTTTACCAGTATTCCCCCTCCCAGCATGTTACTTTCAGCCAGTTAATATTTTGTGCAGTCAGGATGAAGCAATTTCTGACTAGGCTCAAAATGTTGCAATTTTGCTTTGTAAATTTTGGCATTCAATTTTTCTATTGTTGTGTATTGCAACTCAGTAGGAATGGGTTTGTAAGTGGTCAGTAATGAAGACATGCGTCTGACAGAAGGAGGCAATTATAAGTATAATGGTTAAAATATATTCATTTGAAAAACCAATTTCTATCAAAATAGCTCTCATTCTTACCTGTCATTCATTTTCCAGTTTATGTGGGACCCTGAAAAACAAACAGAAATACTGAATTATTCATTTCAATGATATTTTTGGATTTCACTGAAAACAAAATTATTCAAACTTTTCAAACTTTTAATATAGCAGTCATGCAAATAATGAAAGATTGAATTTATGACTATATTAAGAAAAAGGGATTCAGAGAAGAATTTTATCAAGAAGTCCAATGTTTTCTTTTGAGTCATTTTCCCCTTCTTCATTGGTCGTTGTCATCTACTTTTATTCATTACTGTTTTTCTGTGTTGTGAAGATTCACAGAAGATGTAATTTTTAGTCTTCAATAATTGTAAATCTTTCCTGAGAATTTCTCAAAGCCACTTTAGCTCCCAGGCTCATTTTGAAATCAGAACTCAAGTATGATGCACTTCCCACATGTGCACCTCTCATAGAGTAAGGTATGATGCAATTCTTGCATACCATCTCTCATACAGAAAGGTATGATGCACCTCTTAAACCATCCAACCTCTCATTGGGCAAGATAAGATGCACATTTTGCATACCCTCATCATATAGGGAAAGGTGATGCACCTATTGTACCCCCATCTCTGATAGGGCAAGGTATGATGCAGTTTTTGCACCCCCAAACAAATAGACTACTCACAAGCACACATGAACACTACACAACATAGGAAGTGTGTGTATGTGCATGTATGTATATATGAATATATATATATATATATATATATATATATACATACATATATATATATATATATATATGTATGTGTGTATATATATATGTATATGTATGTGTGTATATGTGTATGGATGTATATATGTGTATACTAATTCCTTATAATAAGACAGTATGTATGTATACATAAGCATACTAACGAAAGCATACCTGTCTATTAGGGTGGCTAACCAATCCCTATTACAGATGCTCACTCAGGCACATTTGTGTTTGTTCAACACTCACAGAGCCCACTTGTGGTTTATACTGAAACTATGCTGTTACAGTTTCTGGGAGAGAGTGTGTTATCTAGCATGATCAACAATCTGAACAAAGCCAGCACACTCAAACCCTCAGTCACGATGACTTGTGAATTTGTGCTAGGGTAGCTATCACTGCCCCCACAAATCTTCTGTCTACCCAATTTCATTCACAATTTCATTCACTTCTTCAGGTAATTGGAATTTCAAACTGAGCCCTTTATTTTGTCGACTGAGGTAGATTGTTCTAGTTCCACATGCAATGCCTCTTTCAGAATTCTCAGTTATTTCCATTTAACTCAATTAGCCAAGTTTTTGGTTCACCACAATACACAGGTATTGAACTCACAAATATTTAACTACATTGTTGACATGGAAAACAAAAAAACAAACTCTTAGTAAAAAGGAAATTACCACTTTCCACAAAGAGGCTTATACATGACCATTTCTTTTTTCAATTTTGGATTTGATGTAACTATGACAACAAAACATTTCACTTTCATTTCTTACCATGGTAAAGTTGGAAGTTGAAATGCATTGTCAAAAACTAAGAATTTTTTCCAATTGTCATTTTTAAGCCATATATATATATATATATATATATATATATATATATATATATTATAAAAAAAGGCTCGAATACTAATATTCCATGGTTATAATTTATTACATTGGAATCGTAATTATGGCCCAATTCATCAAACCTACAAATTTAAAAAGAAATCATAAAATACAACTCCAGGTATAAAAAATAAAATTTTAGTGAAAGTGTATGTGTGGGAGTGGGAAACAAGAGCAAGAGGGAAATGTATGAAAGCTTTAGAGAGAGGTGCAACGGAATAAAGAAGAAAAGGAAAGGCCTAAAGGTGAAGGCGGGGATTAAAATTTAACAGAGAAGTTTTAAAGAGAGGAGTTAAATAACAGTTTAAATGAGTGAGATACTGATAAATATGAACACGCATACATACATACATATATATAAGAGCCGAAAACTTCAATATAATTATTTGAATTAAATTGAGTTAAAGTAAGCTCTGTTCCATCTTCAAACGAAATTTTTTTTTGGAATAACGTATTTCTGAAATTTGCGTGTTTCGAAACATGAGACCTCTTATGTCGCGAGTTGGAATCATATTTTTAAATAAATAATTATATTTATGCTCTACTTTTGTATCTAGCACTTTTTTTAAAAATAATAACTAAAACACTAAGGAACTTTGGATTATTTACCTAACCAGTTCTTTCCTATTTTCTATATATTTACACACACACACACACACACACACACACACATATATATATATATATATATATATATATATATATATATATATTGACCACTAATATTATCTATCTATCTATCTATATATATATATATATATATATAATAAAAAGTTAATGGGCAGAATTGGATTAGACCAGGAAACAGTAGTATCAAAAAAGTGCTCAATACACATATAAAAAGATAAAAATTTAACATGTAGTGTTTTTGGGTATAAAAAATTAGGAGATCAGCCAATTGGCTCCTTTTCAGTATCTTCAGGTGATTTTGGTCAATTGATTTCCTAATGCTTTGTTTTAAAGAAAAATAAAAAAAAAAAAATAAAAAAATTTATGAATGATATATATATATATATATATATATATATATATATATATATATATATATATATATATATACAAATCCTGTAATTAGAAACCATTTGTCATTTGGTGTCTTGGTGTTTATTTATGTCTTTGCTTCACACACTATTCAGACATCATTTTGTTACCAACTCGTTGATTGGGATTTATTGTTTACTGAACACATTTTGCCAATAAATCTCTATATGAAACATTGAAAATTAATAAAAGATATATGTTCCAGTGTAAAAATATGGATTTGATTGATGGAAAAATAACACAAACCACTTATACTGGCTAAGTGAATACATTTCTATTGTAATTCCTTTTCTCCTTGTTTCTCATTAAAGCTTTGCTTCAGAAAAAAAAAATTCTTTTAAGTTTTGCTAATGAAGAATATAATGTTTTTCTTAACAAAGATGAGATATTAACCTAAACAGAAGTTGTCTAATGAAGTTGAGACTGGGGGGAAAAATAGATTTTATCTCGTAGCTACAAATAATTTCCATCTGAAAAATGAATATATTTTCATCTTGTTATTTGATTTAATTTTATTTTCTCATTTGTTTGGTAGCAGAAAGATTTCTGGTTTCCATTTTGTCATGTTGATGTTTACAGTACGAATAAAAATTAACAGACTTACATGATGGTGAAAAACCAGTTTCCATACAACCACCAAATATTTTACTGCATCCAATGATGCAAAATAAGGCCATATCATGTTGAAACACCAGTTCTCATACGATCACTGAAGTTAAGCAACATTGAACCTGGTCAGTACCTAGATGGGTGACTGCTTGGGAATATCAGGTGTTGGATGTGCAGGTGATGTAATGGATAATAATTCAAAATTGTTAATTGGAGAGCTGATTTCTAATTTCAATTCAGTTTGTTAAATTTACTTACATACAAATATCCTTGGGAAAGGTATAAATCCACCTCTTCTCCTCCCCCCAGCTATTGGTTAATTATTAAGTCTCATATTACGAAATCTTTAACAAATAAATTCTTACAATCCAAAAATATTTTCAGGTTTTAACTAAACTGCAATGGGTTGATAAGCCATAGACAATGAATCAATTAACCAACATAGAATAAACAGATCTGAATAAATGCATACTAAATAAAGAAAAAAAAAATTTTTGTGTAACAAAGGAGAAAGCCCAGTCTTGTTTGTTGAAAAATCAAATCAAAATTAAAATCAGCTTGATGTTAATAAAGTGACTAAAATATGGCAATTTTTGTCCTTGTCTACCACTCTTGACCAATCAGTCTTTTTTGCCTTAATAAAAGAATGTTACTTTGAATAACAGGCGGATTCTTTGGTTCTTTGTGGGTGAAGAAGATAGTTGTGCATTATGAGTTGTTTTGTGATGTTAACGAACACTCTTTGCCACTTTTGTGATGTCAATGAATACTCATTGTTACTTTCGTAATGCTTGTTGTAGTAGAGACTTTGTAATCGTGGATATAACTATAGTACACTGTTAAACAATGCTGGTGTCAGATGCCTTTGAGTAGCACTCACACTAATAGTACTTGCTCGATATTACTTGCTTGAACAGTAATCCATATAGTGATCCGAATAAAGGAATAGTATAGTAAATAAAGTAGAGAATAGCAGTTTGTATAGTAATAGAGGATAGACTAGAAATGCAGATTGTTAGTCATCAGCTATTTCCTACATATATGCATTTCCTCTATGGTCATGTGGTCTACTTAATTTAATTTTAGCTTGCTTACTAGCGATCTATGTTCAAACTCAAGTGTCAGCAGTAAGACTTTATTCCTGTATAACAAGTTGTGAATATGGATTTTTGATGCCTTAGTATTTTTGACTTTCAAATTGTAAGGCTGATTTATGACCCTTGGAATTATGACTTCAGGGTTTAGATTTTTGCAATCTGAGCCTCTCCATTGCTATATTCTCACAAAATTGAGTATGCATCTTAGTGGCTTTATTGTCTTGCTTGGGGTGAAATGATTAAAATCAAGACAAAACAACAGCATATTTTACATTTTGTTTCACTGTAGCAAAACAATCAAGTAGCAGCCTACCTTGAAATCAAAAATAAAAGTGGCTATGTGTCGTGTGCACTTTTTTGCTAGGCTTTATATAGGTGGAAATAAAATGCACACATGATTGGCATGGCTAATTTGTATGCATTAGCAAATCACTGCATTCAATAAAAACAATGATCAAATACTTTTATGTTAGTTGAAGGTGTAAAAGTATGAGGATTGGAAGCTACTGAATATACCCTTGCAAATCATATATATTCTGCTATCTCTCATCCAGTTCTGTCCTACCTGAATATTTGTTAGCAATGAATTGCTCTGATGTCTTTTATAGTTGTTCAGAAAATTTAATTGTATTATACAGTGAATTCTCTAAAGAAAAGAATAAATTGGTGTCACATATGGTCCAGTGCTCCCACAATATATTTATAAATATCTTATATATATATATATTATATATATATATATATATATATATATATATATATATATATATATATAATAAAAAGAAAGAACAGTAAGATATATAATCCTGTGTTCTTATAGATATTTTATTTTTACAAAATAGTGCTCAATGCAAATTTACAGAGAATTAATATTACAAATTAATTGATTTAAAATATGGTTTTTGCTACACAGTTCTAACCATGTTTCAAAACATGTTTTGAAATTTGTTTAAAACTGTGTAGCTAAAAAAAAACATATTTTAAATCAATTAATTTATATATATATATATATATATATATATATATATATATATATATATTTATTTGATAAAATCCAAAGAATCAGCAATATTATTAGTCCTTATCTAGTGTCTTGGCTTCAGTCTTTTTCCGGCCACTATAAAGTTGTGACTTCTTTATCAGTACTTTCATAGTAATTGTTTGGATAAGCTCTTTGCTATTGTACCGTGACTTCATGAATTTAAGCACAGCACTAGACTGACAATGAGGTCTGTACAATTTACAGTTGAGTTCGCTTGATGTAACCATAAATTATGCTAACAGTTTCTTTTCTCACACTTCTCACTTGTGGAACTCCTTTCCAGGTTCATGCTTTCAAATTAACTTTAATTTTCAAAAATTTAAGTGCAGTTTCAATTCTTACCTTTTGTTTCCTTAATTCCTTACTGGATCCTCACCTTAATGTTTCTTTTTTCTCCTATTTTTTCATACTCAATAATCCTGCTATTTATCTAGAGCTCCTTGATCAAATTCAAATAAGAATCAGCAATATTATTGATCCTGTCTTGGTGACTCAGCTTCATTCACTTTCCCATCACCATAAAGTTGCCTCACTGTGCCTTTTCTATAAATACTTTCATGGCAACTGTTCAGATGTGCTTAGACTTTTTTTGCAGTACCAGACTGTCAATGTGCCTAGACTTTTAAAAGTTTCTTTTTAATTCTCTTCTGGCTCCACCAGACTTTAACCATTAAAATTTAAATGCAATGCCAATTCTCACTGTCCTCTAATTATTCTTTCTTCATTCCTGTTCCTTAGTAATGTTTCTGTTTTCTAATTCATTAACTAGTAAACCCCCTTGTGTCTTATAAAGTTCTTGTTTATTGTGAGATTGATTAATCAGTTTCTTTGCTCTCAACATGCTAGGCATTCTGGGGTTTATGTAACAAGTGGGTTCTTGTGGGTTGTTTCATCTTCAGTTTTGAATCCATGTTCTTTCCTAAACTGGTTGCCAACTAGAGAGTCCAGTTTTTAACCATTAAAAATGGATTTACCTTAGTAAATGCTAAATGCCAATTGCTTTCTATCTATCCTCTATCTATATATATATATAATTATTCTTCCTTAGAAAATAGGAAGAAAACGTTAGGTAAATAATTCCTTTAGTATTTTTGTTTTTTATTTTTTCCATACAAGTAGAGTTAAATTATAATTATTTAACGAGATTCCTTCTAATTCATGTTTCAAAAACGAGAGCTGAAAACCTCAATATAATTATTAAAATTAAATTCAGTTAAAGTATCAAGCACTGTTTCATCCTCAAGCGAAAATTTTCGTTTTTGAAACATGAGAACTCTTATGCAGTGAAGGAATCATATTTCTTTTAAAAATAATTATATATATATATATATATATATATATATATATATATATATACAGTGATGCATTGAGATACAAGTTTAATTCATTCCAAGACTGAGCTTGTAACTCAAAAGGCTCATATCTCAAATCAATTTTCCCCATTGAAATTAATGGCAATATTTCTGATCTGTTCCAGGCCTATTAAAAATAACCCTTGTTTTCTTAAAACTCGCCATTTTTTTTGTATTTGTGGGCTTCTTCCAAGCAAAAATGTGGGAATAAACAAGAAATGTAGTTTCCAAACAATAAAATAAAAGAGAATAAACAAATTGTAAAGAAATAAACTGTACTAAACAATGAAGTTCAGACGAGTCATATCCCAACTGGCGGAGGGGTTAGAGAGGGACAAACAGCTAGCCTAGCAACCGCTAAACTAGCCAAGCAACAGTTAGCCTAGTCTACAATATCAAAGATTAACTTTATCACTTAATTTTTAAATATTTTAAATTTTATAATTTTTTATTTATCATCGATGTTGAACGTTTATACTGTCTTGCCAAATCCATTACTCGTATGTATTCCTCATGTTTTTTTATAATTTCCTGCTTTGCCTCACACAAATCGTACATTTTGGCTTTTCACCATTGCTCTTTACACTTACTTTGTTAGGGCTCATGGTGTCACTGAAGGAATTTTGCAAAATAACAGTAAAAAAAATATAACATAGTGAGATAAACACATGTACTGTGAGTGGAAATATTTGCAAATCTTGCCACTTGTTCCAACTAGCACATACTTAACTGAAACTTACTTGTATTTCAAAATTCAGCTTGTAACTCAAAGCAAAATATCGCCCTAATTCTGGCTTGTATTTCCAAAGTATGTTCCTATCTTGTATATATTTAATACAACCTTAGAATAAGTTACCTTAAAAAAAGTATCTTTTATTCAATTTTTATTATCATTTTGCTGCCATTCACCTTCTGGTAACTTGCATTGCTATTTCCAAAGAAGCATTATACATTATTCTGATAGTGTTGCTTTTTATGGTAACCTTTATTTGACCATTATACTTTTATAAAGCTGTTTAATCGTAATCTCTGTTATGTCCATAAATGGAGGAGCCAGAAAATAATCAATAATCAGCAGAAGTTGTTTTCTTTTTCTTTTTTCTCATAGATATACATGTTTTTTTTTCCTCAAAAATTTCATCTGAGCTTTTATGTGTTTGTCTTCAAGATTATGTTGTCACCCTGTAGCATCTTCACCTTTTATTTAATTGACAGGCTAAATCCAATGCTTCATCCTTTGTTTGACATTGCGTTTAGAGAATATTTGCAATTAGAATTTTCACTCAAAAGGATTTATTATAAAACTTCTGTTGGTGATTTTTCAGAACTTCTATAAAGATGATAAGAGAAATAAATCAGGGTTTTTTTTTCCGAGACAAGTCATTGATAATCATTCTTACTATGAATATTATTTTAACACTTCTAACGTCTACTTCAAATCTATGCTCCTAACGTCTCCAGCTAAATCTCAGAATTTTTGTTCACTATCGATTTACTTTTTTCTCTCAATAGGAGTTGATAGGTTCACCTCTTGTCCAGTCTACACTCTTCTCTAGTCTTTTGAACAGGAGTAGAGGTTTATCATTTGTTTCCTGTTTAGAATTGGGTTTCCGGTTCCTTCTAAAGTCTACTTCAAATCTATACTTCTAACGCCTTTGACTAAAACTCTGAACTTTTAC